ATGCCCAGAGAAATACACTTATGGAGGCACAGATATACATACACACAGGTGCCCGTATTCATAGGCATGAAAGCCCAGTCTCATACAACCAGATGCATATAACATATACACTGTGCATATAAAGAGACACCTGCAGTCATGCATGCATATGCACATGTGCAGTGCTGCCATTCACATTATAGTCAGAGTGACTGGCAGCTCCCTGTTGCGGCACAGAGCACAGCCATTCACTTAGACTACGGTGTAAATGGAAGTTCCTGGGATTCTGCAGCACAGCATCCCCACTCACGTACAAACTCCAGATAGTCATAGACATCCATATATATGTGTGTGTATGTACATGCAAAGACAGATGTGCCCTGGCCTGCACACATGCACACACAAGCATGTTCTTCCAGAGGTATGTGCACACAGACATGAGAGAGCACATGAGAACTTAAGAGACAGGTCCCATATAGGTCCGACCTTGGCCCCACCTCCCTGAGGGTGGCAGGTTCTTGCTCTGTACCAGCTAGGTCTCTGAAGCCCCTCCAAGATCTTGCTAGGCCACGGGCTGGTGCAGTGGGCACTCAGCCTAAAACAGAGAGATAAAGCCAGGCCCTATTCCCAGAAATCCCCTCAGCCCCTTAGTGTATTTCAGAAGAATCAGTCAGGGTTCGAGGCACCTGCTGTGAGGCTCTGGCCCTGTCATAACGAACAATCATCACTTACACTGAATTATGAGATGGCTGAGGGCCAGGCCCTGAGCTGGACACTAGCAGTTGTTTCCCAAGAAGTGGGGACTATCATTGCCCCATTATGCAAATGAGGAAACAGAGGCTCCAGCCAGCTATGGTTGTACAGCTGGAAATGAGGAAGCTGAGACTAGAGTCCCAGAAAGAAGCAACTCACCCTCCCACCTAGTGTCACAGAAGGGAGCAGAAGCCCACAGAAATGCTCACACAGTGAGGAAGAAAGCCCCCACCCACACCTCCAAGACCTGCAAGCAGCAAGAAAAGATCAAAGAGTCAGAAAAGCAAAGTGAGAGTTTTGTTCAGACGTTTATTTTGGGCCCAATTGCCACAGCATCCAGGCATACCAACCTGTAGCGTTAAATAAAAATTCTCTCTCATCATACTCATTGTCCATATTTAGGAATGAAGACTTGCTCCCTTGTTTGGTCTGCTCCTGGGCTCCTCCCAGCCCTGTGGTGCTCTGGGTGCTTGGGCCTGGTCTCATTTTTTACCTTTAAGCTGTCACTCTGGCTTCCCAAAGTGCTGCTTCCCACAGGAGAATTCTAGTTACCTGGAGACTTGCCTGTTCCCAACAGTCCCCAGGCACTCAGCATGGTTTCACATCTCCAGACCTCCTTCATCCCAGTAATGGCCCTCCTTCTCACACAGCCAGAGGAAGTCCCAATAGGGAAGGGGCCTCAGGCAGGCAGAACTCAGGGTCTGATAGCCCAGCCAAAGGCTTCTCAGGACAAATGGCAGTGAGAGCAGGAACCCCAGCCTACGGAGCTCAAAGAGCTCTATTCTCGTGATTGCCCTGCTCCCATCTGTGTCCCACCCATCCCTTCCTCTTCGTACCCTAAACCCACACTCCAGCTCAGGCCTCCTCAGCTTCGGCCTGATCCATTGCAGTAGCCTCTGAACTGACCTCTCTGTTTCACTTTGCCTCCATCAGGGCCTCATATCTGATGATAGTCCCACCACTTTTCCATGGCTCACCATTACTTCAGCAGAAAATCCAAGCTCCTAGCCTGGCACCCAAGAAGTCTATGATCTGACCTCAAACTCCCTTTTAGAATAATTTCCTGCTTTCTTCTCCTTCATTATACCTGATTAGAGAATGCACTCTTGCCCCACGTGCCCTGGCTCATGCTGACTCCTCTCTCTGAATGCTCTCACCTCATCCCATTCCCTGTCTTGCTAACTTTCTCGGCCTTCAAGACCTAAACCAAATGCCCCTCTTCTGTGAATCCTACCAGACCCTCAGTCATTGGTCCTGGGGCTGCCCAGCCAACACTTACCTGTTCTACCCTGTATTAGAGCTACTTGTACATGTGTTCTGTGTCCCTGAGCTCCTCAAAGACAGACTATGGGTGTGGCACAGTCTATAACTCCCACAACGGGACTGTGGAATCAAGTCTCGTTCATTCTGCGGCTGCTCTCTAGTATGCCTAGCTGGTGACTGATGATTCAGTACACTAGCCTCAGGGATGCCCAGCAACTGCAGGTGTCCCCTCTGAGCTCCTCAGGCCAGCTGGTGCCTCCCTCATCTGGCCGCATCTCTCTACCTTGCAGGAGTCCTATTAATGAGCTTCTCCCTCTGCCCATGAGATGGTCATTCCTGAGTTCAGAAACTACAAGGTTGACCTCCTCTCTACTGGGTCCGTAAGGCCCACTCAGAGGGTACTGCCCATAGTTAGTGCTCAGTCGATCTGGAATGAATCAGTGATAAACAGAAAAGAAGGTTGAATCTTAAATGAATGAATAAGTGAATAAATGACAAAAAGACAGAGCAGTTGAGCCCGGGGAACTATAGGAAGGAAGGCAGAATGTGCACGCAGCCTGCTGTCGAAGAAACAGCCAGCAAGCTATTTCTTGCTTGGGAGTTGGGTCAGGCTGCCCTGTCCTCTACAACCTCACCCCAGTGTTCCACCCAGAACCTCCAGGTCTTTGCCTGAATGCCCAGTCCTCCCTGCTGTCCTCGATCACCTACTTGCCATCATGCACCCACATAAATGTGCACTCTTAGTTTGGGGCTAGATTGAGAACTCGACTGGCTCTCCCCCTCTCCCCCATTCAGGCATGGCCGGGGATGAGGACAACAGGGATATGCTCCATGAGAAGAAAGCTTGCTGAATGAAAGGCCACCATGGACATGCAGCACCTGCTGGTGGCAGGGCAGCTGGTGGACAGATAGACAGGGGCTGCCCAGGATGCCTGTCCCCTTCCTCACCTGCGATGATAAACCAGTTCATGTAGTTCAGGAGGTTGATGTAGCAGAGCACTGCAGCAGCCAAGTAAGCTCTCCAGCGGGGCAGGCTCCAGGGGGCAGGCATGGTCAGAGGGGGGCACTGACTGGAGCCTGAGGCTCAGAGTGCCCACCTGACCCCAGGGACCAGCCCTGAGGCCCCTCTGGCCCAGGATCCCAGCACTCTGCAGACGTGCCCCTAACCTCGTCAGCCTGCTGCTCCCGTCCCAGAAGGAGTGTGGAGGCAAAGGCACATTAGCTCTGCACCAAGTTACTTCCTGTGAGCCTCCCAACCTCAAAGCAGCTGCCCTAAACTGCTGAGCATCTTATCTCATGTCTGTGCTGAGCCCACTGCAGACTTGCTGGTGAGATTTCACCATCTCAGCCCCTGAGACCTGCTAGATGGGAGGAGAGCTCCTGCTCCCCCTACCCCACCCCACCCTGGGTGACTGGACACTTTGGTCCCCTTGATCTAGCCTGCAGCTATGATAGCTGCAGTGGCTGCAATGAGGAAGAGAAGCTTCGCGGGACAGGAAATGAGATGAGTCTCCCAGAGTCCTGCTTACTGTGAGAGGGTCTGGCTTCCCACACAAGAGGGACATAAACCAAGGTCAAATCAGGAAGGCTGGGTGTTTCCAGGGGAGCAGCATTGGACTGGACAAAGACGGCAGAGAGGCTGCCTACAGGAACACAGCCTGTGAGCAAAACTCATCAATGGATAAAAAATCTAGGGGGAAATTTTTGATGAGAGGCAAGATATTGGCATAGTCTTTATCAATTGTTTATTAGTAGCAACGTATGGGAGGAGGGTAACTACACAGTAGAAGAATTAGGCAATATCTCGACCGAAGGATTAAAGTAACATCAACAATGAGGGGCAGTGGGCATTGTTTCCATATGAAGCCCTGAGCAAGCCACATCGTGGTAGCAGGATTCCCATTAGGAATGCATGACCTGAATCATGTCTGATGTCTGACAAAACACCAGACAAACCTAAATTGAAGGACACTACTTTTTTAAATAGACTTTATTTTTTAGGGCAGTTTTAGGTTCACAGCAGCTGCAGGTGCCCCCTCTGAGCTCCCCAGGCCAGAAGGTTCAGAGATTTCTCATATCCTCTCTGCCCCTACACATACATAGCCTCCCCAGTATCAACAAGCCCCACTGGAGGGGGACACTTGTTACAATTGAACTTACAGAGACACATCATTTCCACACAAAGTCCATAGTTAACATTAGGATTCACACTTGGTATTGTACATTCTATGGGTTTGGACAAATGTATGACATATATTCACCATTATAGAATTATACAGAGTAGTCTCATTGCCCTAAAAATCCTCTATGTTCAGCCTACTCATCCTTCCCTGCCCCAACCCCTGAATTTTTTACTGTCTCCATAGTTTCGCCTTTTCCAGAATGCCGTATAGTTGGAATCAGATGGTGCGTAGCCTTTTCAGATTGGCTTCTTTCACTTATATGCATTTAAGTTCCTCCATGTTATTTCGTGACTTGATAGCTCATTTCTTTTTAGCACTGAATACTATTCCATCGTCTGGATGTACCACAGTTTAGTTATCTATTCAGTTACTGAAACACATCTTGGTTGCTGCAAGTTTGGGCAATTATTAATAAAGCTGCTATAAATATCCGTGTGTGGGTTTTTGTGTTGATGTAAGTTTTCACTTCCTTTGAGTAAATACTAAGGAATGCAATTGCTAGATCAGATGGTAAGAATATGGAACACTATTTTTTTTAAAGAACTGCATTATTCAAAAATTTTAAAGTCATAAATGACTAAGAAAGACTGATAGATTGTTTCAGAAAATGACAGGGATGTGATAATTAAGTGCAACATGAGATCCTAGACTGAGTCCTATACTAGAGGGGAAAATGCACATTATTGGATCAATTGATAAAATTAGAATGCAGACAGTAGATAAGAAGAAATAAATCTGTGTCAAGTTTGCTGAAGCTGGTAACTATACTATGGTTAGTGAAATCTTTATCCTGAAGCTTTAAGGGGTAAAGGGCCAACATGTATGCAACTTACTGGTTGAGGAAATGGTTGAGGAAAAATAATGGATAGATATAGTAAGAAAGTAAATGGGGCAGTGTTAATAAGAAGAATTTGAATAAAAATGATATGGGTTTCTTTGTATTATTGCAATTTTTCTGTAAGCTGGAAATTATTTCTAAATAAAAAGATATAGCACAAAATTACAAACAACCCAATTAAAAATGAGCAACGGACTTGAATAGATAATTCTCCAAAGAAGATATATAAGTGGCCAACAAGCATATGAAAAATGCTCAATATCACTAGTCATTGAGGAAATGAAAATCAAAACCTCAATGATACCAACTTCATACTCACTAAGATGGCTAGAATAAAATTAAAAAACTTAAAAAGAAAACAGAAAATAATAAGTGTTGGTAATGATGTGGAGAAATTAGAACCCTTATACATTGCTGGTAGGAGAGTAAAATGGTCCAGCCACTGTGGAAAATGATATGAGTTTCCTCAAAAGGGCAAGTATAGAATTATCATATGACCCAGGCTACTCCTAGGTATATACCCAAAAGAATTGAAAACAGGGACTCAAACAAATACTTGTACAAAAATGTTCATAGCGGCACTATTTACAACAGCCAAAAGGTAGAAACAACTTAAATGGCCATCAATTGATAAACGGATAAACAAAATGTGGTACACATATACAATGGAATATTATCTGGCCATGAAAAGGAAATGAGGTTCCGATCCATGCTACAATGTGGCTGAACCTCAAAAACATGCTAAAAGCCAGACACAAAAGGTCAAATACTGTATGAGTTTGTTTATATGAAATATCCCAAATAGTTAAGTCCATAGAAAGAGAAAGCAGATTAGTGGTTGTCAGAGGCTGAAAGGAGGATGGAATGCTCCTCTGAGATTGATGAAAATGTTTTGGAACTAGATAGAGGTGATGGTTGCACAAGAGCATGAACGTACCAGATGCCACCGAATCGTACGCTTTAAAATGTTCTCAATTTTGTTATGTGAATTTCACTTCAATTTTTTTTTACTTCAATTTTTTTTTCACTTCAATTTTTTTAAAAAGTTAAAGCAAACAAACAAAAAAATGATCTGGTGGCATGACAAGAATGTGAGTTTTGCTATCCAACAGGCCTGGGTTCAAATTCCAATTCTGCTTCTTCCCAGTTGTTTGCTTTGGGCAAGTCCCCAACCTCTATGAGCCTCAGTGTCCTCATGTGTGACGGAGAGAAAGGAATATATGCTTATTCTTCTTAATAATTGTGAGGATGAACTAAGATGAGTCCTTGTAACATTCCCGGCATAGAGCCTGGAAGCACTCAGTGAGTGATGACTGTCATTGCTGTTGTGATGAGGATGATGGTGGTGGTGATCGGTCCTTGGCCTCTGCCATGTGATTCAACTGCATACCCCATGTGGATGGTCTCAGTAAAATAAAGAGAAGTTCAAAATCAGGCCCTCCAACACTGTAGGCAGTTTAGCATCATGGCTAAGATCATGTACCCTGGAGCTGGACTCACCACTCCATGGCCATCTGATCTTAGGCAAATAATCAAAACCTCTCTGTGCCTCAGTTTCCTTGGGGGTAGTAATAATACATACCTCACCGGGTCGCTGTGGTTAAATAAGATGATATTTGAAAAATGCCTAGATCTTTGCTTGGTATTGAGGAAGTGCTATGTGTTTGTTAAGTAAAATGGGGTTTTCCCTGGTACAAATAGATGAGATTTTGGTCTCAGCATGCCCTCAGAGCTGAGGAGTGACAAGGTGAGTTATATCCTCAAATATTAATATGAACCCAGGCACATGTATGTGCACGCACGCACGTGCACACACGCACGCGCACACACACACACACACACATTCATGCAAACTAAAGAGCATTGCAACCAAGATAGAACTGCCCCCATCCAGAGACTACTGCCCCCGACAGGGCTTGTCAAAGTAATCCCTTTCCAGAGCCCAGGCCTCATCATGCCAAGCCAGAATGCCACCTCACTTCAGCTTTCAAAACCAGGCAGAGACAAGGGAGCAGCTCATAGGGTTAGAACTCCCAGGACTGGTAAAGTCCAGCAGGCTAGGTGTTGGCCAAGAGGGCAGCATCAGAACACAATCAACTTCCCTGGACCCCTTGGCTTTCAAGCATGGGGTCCCACCAGGGACCCAGGGTTTGACCTCTAGAGGGGTCCCGGATGAAGAGGCTTTGCCCCACATTCCCAGAGGCATCTTAGAAATAAAGTTGAACATCATGTCCCAGGAGCAGAAAGTCAGCAATGAGGCAGCACAGAGTCACAGGTGATCAGGTAGGAGGATTGGGTTCCAACACTGTGAGGACACTTTTCCTCTCTGGGCCTCAGCTTCCCCATTTGAACATTGGTGGTCCTGGTGATGGAGGGATTAGATAGTCCTAGAAGGTCCACTCATCTTCGCAGTTTATGTGTATGTCTGTCTCTCAATTCAGCTGCAGTCTCCTGTGAGGGACCCAGGAAGTAGATCCCATTGATTTCTCTAGGAGTCATCATCAGGTATACACTGCTGCCTTCTCTAGGAGTCATCATCAGGTAACCAATGCTAAATGTTTTGGAACTAGATAGAGGTGATGGTTGCACAAGAGCATGAACGTACCAGATGCCACCGAATCGTACGCTTTAAAATGTTCTCAATTTTGTTATGTGAATTTCACTTCAATTTTTTTTTACTTCAATTTTTTTTTCACTTCAATTTTTTTAAAAAGTTAAAGCAAACAAACAAAAAAATGATCTGGTGGCATGACAAGAATGTGAGTTTTGCTATCCAACAGGCCTGGGTTCAAATTCCAATTCTGCTTCTTCCCAGTTGTTTGCTTTGGGCAAGTCCCCAACCTCTATGAGCCTCAGTGTCCTCATGTGTGACGGAGAGAAAGGAATATATGCTTATTCTTCTTATGTGAGGTGAGGATGAACTAAGATGAGTCCTTGTAACATTCCCGGCATAGAGCCTGGAAGCACTCAGTGAGTGATGACTGTCATTGCTGTTGTGATTGATGGGGGTGTGGTGGTGATCGGTCCTTGGCCTCTGCCATGTGATTCAACTGCATACCCCATGTGGATGGTCTCAGTAAAATAAAGAGAAGTTCAAAATCAGGCCCTCCAACACTGTAGGCAGTTTAGCATCATGGCTAAGATCCTGTACCCTGGAGCTGGACTCACCACTCCATGGCCATCTGATCTTAGGCAAATAATCAAAACCTCTCTGTGCCTCAGTTTCCTTGGGGGTAGTAATAATACATACCTCACCGGGTCGCTGTGGTTAAATAAGATGATGTTTGAAAAATGCCTAGATCTTTGCTTGGTATTGAGGAAGTGCTATGTG